AATATATTTATAGCTGGAAGCATGAGATTGTGGTATTTCCTATGAAATATCAGCTCACCAAAGACGAACTAGCTCAAACACAAAAGGTTGACACATTCTTGGTTCTCTATTCTGACTGAATGTTGTGTAAAAATTGCTCGAGTCACACATTTGCTGACAAGTGATTGGAAAATTAAATCTGACCGCAAGCCACGTTCGTTTCTGAGCCTGATTTATAACAGTGGGGTGCAATGAAAACGATTAACATCTTACCTGCTGTAGATAGCTCTGTGAACAAGTTCAGCTTGGAGGGGTTTAATTCTGACCACACTGACGAGCTAACGGCTAGTTTGAGAGGGGCCAAGAGCAAAAAGCCTCGTCAAAGCAACTCCAATCTCTAACATAAACATGTAAAATATTTAAACTACAGCACATTACTTCTTTTTTTTTTAAGAATAAGGTTGTTTTGCATAAGTAAAATCGTGTTTGCCTCTGAAATTTTAGATTAAATATTGTTTTAGGAAGGCATCAAAATACTTAATTCTTGGTTCTTGTCAGATTAGCTGCTAGCTCATTTATCCAGTCACAATTAAACTTTATTTCTCCAAACTGAGGTTGTTCAACCAGCCATTTACAACAGGTAAGATATTTTTTATTCATAACCTTCCCACAGAAATCCATATTGACGTTTGAACCTTTAAGCATGTTTGAGATATCAGTATTTTCTTTTTCAGTCTCATGAACTTAGATCATTCAAAACAAAACGAGTTAAAGTCAGTAAAATAAAAACAGCCTGGGTGTTTTGTCGTTCGGTCATGGGTGTGCGTCGACTCGGGCCAACCTGTGAACCCTCCATCTGCGATGTTGAACATGAAGCGCAGCCTCTCGGTCGGAGGCTTCCCGTTACCCCTCGGCGCCTCCTCCTTGGCTGCTTTAACGTCTTTCCCAACATCCTTTTCACCTTTGACCTCTTCTGTTGTTGAGAAAGACGCAAGATTTTAAATGTATTTATCAAACAAGCTTGTTCTTATAGCAGCACATCGCCACACATCTGGAAGACAATAAAAGGCACCTTTCTTCACGTCAGACGCCTCGGGTTTATTCTGGGATTCTGTTGCTTCCGTTGTCGTTCGAGTTTCTTCACGCTTTTCTTTTTCCTTCTCCTCCCCGGCCTTTTCTCTATCTGCAAATATAAACACGCCACGCTTCAACTGTTTGATAGTGTGCACCATATTTTCCAGTGTATAAGTCGCATCACTCCAAAGAAAGCATCATAAAGAGGAAATAAAAACATATAAGTCGCTTGGGCGTATAAGTTGCATTTATTATGCATCACCGCTGACCCGTCGCGTTTATTTAATGGACAAAACAGCTTCATTTCGCCTGGGCGGTGCCATCCATCCATCCATCCATCGCTGTCGGAGCTGCTAGCTCTCTAGCGTTCCTCCGCCTGCACCAGCTGAGTGAAGCGAACGCGCATGCAAGGACTCGCTGTTGCAGTTCTTTGAAATTTAAAGCGTCAGTCAAAAATTGCGTTATGAATATGGAAAAAAAAAACTTATTTAAGTCGCAGGACTGACAAATCTATGCAAAAAACTTTGGCTTATACGCCGGAAAATACAGTAACGGTGTTTCTGCAGCTAACTCGTTCCACAATTTTTGCTCCATTTCAACAGTTCATGCATCAAAATATTCAGCTCATTCTGGACATTATTGCTCTAATATTTAGTATTTGTGCAATTTTTACTTTTTTGAAATATGTAGCTGTTTCGGCCATGTTTTTCTCATTGAAAATGAATGGCGCTCTAGTCACATCCGTCAAACCTTTTGTGCTGTCTGAAACCTTTTACAGCTCATTTTAGTTTTAGCTATGGTTCAGCTTTTTTTCTGCTAATTTCAGCTCCTTTCAGAAATGTTTCTGCCCTCTTCCTGTTCTTTTTACTAACTGTAGCCATTGTGTTATTTTATCAGCTTTTGTCTCAGTCAATCAATATAAAGTTGTTGTCCATAACATTTCCTGAGATGGAGATTTATCCTTGACATCTAGCTCATCCATACAAAACAACACAAGACTTTGTTAACCCAGTAAAACCAAATCTAAAATACACAATACACTAAAAACATAAAAACATCTTTGCAGACAATGGTTTGTCATGTGAGGCTACATTTAAAAAAGGTCTGCAAAGTTAATGTTTTTGTTCCTTTCAGCTAAATTTAGCTTTTTCTTCCTTTTGAGCTACTTTTCAGGTATTTTTCGACTACATTTTTATTGCTAATAGCCACCTTTTGTGATTCTTTCTAATACTTTCAACCTTTGAACGGTCCTTTCAGCCTCTTTATCCTCATTTCAGCTTTTTTAATTTAGCTTTTTCAACAACTTTTCCCCCGCTTTCAGCTTCTTTTTTGCTCATTTCAGCTTTTTCTATTTAGCTTTTTCAGCTACTTCCCCCCCCCCCATTTTCAGATTTTTTTTGCTTATTTGATCTTTTTTTAATTGAGCTTTTTCAGCTACTTTTTCCCCGTTTTTTTTTTTTTTAATTTAGCTTGTTCAGCTACTTTTTCCCTGTTTTCAGCTTTTTTTTTGTTGCTAATTTCAGCTTTTTTATTTAGCTTTTTCAGCTGTTTTCAGCTTTTTCCCCTTCATTTCAGTTTTTTATTAAGCTTTTTCAGCAACTTTTTTTCCTGTTTTCAGCTTCTTTTTGCTCATTTCAGCTTTTTTTTTTTTTAAGCTCATTTTGGATTTTGTTTGTAATTTAGTCAGCCTCTTTTGACCTATTTCAGCTTATTCTGCTAATTTATGCCATTTTTTTCTGCTTTCATCTTTCTTCTTTCAGCAAATGTCAACTGTTGCAAATTTAATTCACATTAACCACGAAGAGATTAAACTTTTTCAGCTGGTTTCAGCTTCTTTAGCAGCTTTCAGCAAGAAGCATTAACACTGCATTTTCACATGAAATGACATTTCTCTAGTAGAAAGTTTGTCTTTTTAGTTTTTTTACCTGACTTCTCATCTTTGACCTCCACGTCTTGTTTCAGTGTCTGCTTCGTCTCCTCCTTGTTCTCCTCTTCTACTTTTTGCCCTTCTGTTGCTGCAACCGAAGCGTCGCCTGTTGGTTCTTTCCTCTCGGCCTCTTTCACGTCGCTTTCTTCGTTGCTTTCAGCTTTTTGACCAGGAGAGGCCTTTTGCGATGCATCTTTTGTCGAGGAGGAAAGCTACAGACAGGAAGCGACAGTCCAGAGCCTAATTTGTTACATAAAACACTCACACATCAGATTTAAATTCACATTAAAAGATAAAACTTGATTCATAAACTCCACAGTAAAATAGATTTTTTGAATTTAAGGCATTTTTGCAAAAAGCACAAGTGTATTAATATGATCAAACTTTTGAAAAGGGTCTTATAACTTATTTTAATGTGACTAAATTGTACATTTTCATGTATTGTTTAACTGCGTAAGCACTTATTATTTTATTAAAATTCTTGTTAGTTTTTTTCACATCACTGCGTGAAAGAAAACATGCCTATAAACGTCAAAAGTGTGCAGCTCGATCTGGAACAATGCATTATGATTTTGGAAGTAATAAATCATTATGTGGCAGAATTTGTATCAAAATATTATTAATATATTATAATAAAACAGATATTTTCATAAAATGTTCACCCGACACTGATGAGGTCACTCACCCGAGTGACAGTTCATTTTCATTACAGTTCATTTTGAACTGTAAAGTTGTGAAAAAACTCTTTACTCCTGATTTTTTTAGTACACGTGCACTTCATACATGAAAATGTGGGGATTTTTGTCCTCCTTAATCCAGTGTCTCTCACTGGTGTAGAACTGATGGTTTGCGCTAAAATCCCCCCCCCCCCCCAGAATTTTTTAGCTAACATCAGCAGTTTTCAGATAAATTCAAGGTTTTTGTGGTAATTTCTGCTACTTTCATCCTATTTTTTTTAAAAGCTCCTTTCATCTTATTTCTGCTAGTTTTAGCTACTATTTAGCTGTTTTATGATTTATGTTTTATTAACCTGTTCAGCCAATTCAACATTTTTAAGCTAATTTCAGCTCTTTCCACTTCTTTCTAGTTGTTTGAACTTCTTTATGCATTTTCAGATACTGTTCAGCAATTTTTTTTTTCTAATTTCAGCTATTTTTTAAAGCTAATTTCTAATTTTTTGTGTGTTCATTTCTGCTTATTTAAACCTAATTCAGCAAATATATGTTCTTTCTGTTTTCTTTAGCTAATTTTAGGCTTTTCTTCCATTTCAGCTACATTTCAGCTGTTTTTCAGCAAGTTCTTCTGCAATAAGCATTCACACTGCCTTTTTGAGGGAAAGGCAATTTCTCTTGCTTGAGGTTTATTTTTTGGCACGCGTTTTTGTCTGCCTTTCTTACTTTTGCTGTCAGAGAGTGACGACAGGTGTGTGGTTACCACGGCGACCGCAATGAGCCGCTGCCAGCAGCTTTAACATTTAATTTGATCTTGGTTCTCTTTTTTCATAGTTAAAAATCAGACTGAAGGTTTTATTCTTACACGTCACATTAGAACTAAAAAAAAAATGTTTTCTTAAAACAAGGTTTGTCCTGCGTTTATTTTATTTTATTTCACCTTTTAGGGCAATACTGTACAAATATTAGACTAAAAACTTGTAAAGAATTACACGGACATGTTGGGAACGTGAGTAGAAGCAAATAACTGCCTGACAGGAAGAAAAATAACGTGTGAGAAACGTTAGAAAACTTTTAAATATTGTGTTTTTTCGGCAGTGATGCATGAACAAAGATCTTTGAACCTTAAACCATCCTTATCAAACTTGTTTGTTTTATCTGTGGGGTTGGTTCTGGTCTGTTGACCTCGTCTCACCTCCTCTGTGTCTGCGGTCTTGTTGCTCTCCACCTCCTTCCCTGAATCCTTCTTCTTCCCTTTCTCCTTATCCAGGGAGGCCTCAGGTCCCTCCTTGTCCTCCTCCTTCTCCCCCTCCCTCCCGTTCTTTTCCAGCTTCTCGAAAGAAGCAGGAGTGGCTGTGCGTGTTCACACAAACACATCGCAGAAGGTCAAAACCAGCCTCGTGGGGATGCAGCGCCCCCTCCTGGACCTGCGTCGTGTATCGTTTGGTTACCTGGCTCGGAGGTGCATGGCGTGGTGTTGAAGCTGGCGTCCGGAGTGGGCGTGGTGGTCTTCAGAGCAGGAGACGAGGCTCGGGAGGATTTGTCGACGCTGACCTCAGGTTTAAGCTCTGGAATGCTCCACCGCCCATTAATGTGCTCGAACTCCTGGATCTGGACACAAAAATCAAAGATAAAAAAACAACAACAAAGGCTTGGCAGATGCTGAGCTAAAGCACCTCGTTTAAACACACCACACACACGCCAAGTTGGCTGGCAGGAAGTCAAACATTCGCTGTGGCGCTCAGATCAGGATACCTACAGGTTTAAACAGGTTGGACTGAAAACTGAGGGGGCGGATAATGTTTGGATTAAATCAAATAAATTGTCAAACTGAAGGAGTTACCAAAACAAAAAAAAAACATGTAAAACATGATGTAAAAAGCTGAAAACATTGTAATGTTACAAAAACAGACTAACATCTTATTTCTTGTTATTTTCACTATAAAAACATTTTTATTATTCACGTGTGAAGTACAGTTGCAAGAGTGGACTGTTGTTTCGACTGCGCATGTACCTGAACTCCTCCACACGTCTCCCTCTCATTCACACACACATTCTGTTTCGTCTTCTACTGAGTGTTCCTCACCCTCTCCAGGCTCTCTTCCACCTGCTCCCTTAGATTTTGCAATCTAAGGTTAAAGCGAGACTGGTTATCTGCCATATTTTTCGCCATATAAGTCGCACCTTTTTGCATACATTTGAAATAAATAAACTAATTAATTAAATTAATTTTTGCATTAAAAATTTTAAACATTACCATTTGCAGCCGGTAGAGTGCCCTCAAGCATTATGGCAAGCCAAGTGTCTCATTAATGAGTAAAAGTGGCTATTAATGAGACACGTGGCTTGCCATATAGGCCACCTTCGTCTTGCTCTGGAACTCCTGGAGCAAACGTCAAATCAACTGCATTTCACCGCCCAGGCGAAATGCAGTTGATTTGACCATTAAAGTGCATTTATTAAAGAAAAGTTCAACTGAGACACACCTTTGGTATAATTTTGAGCAAACAAATAATTATTTTTAAGTGTTAATATTGTTAAATTCTTGTTAAAGTCCTCCCATGCACGCTCCCGCGGCCGCCATTTTGGCAGCCAATCAATTTTGGCACATCGCCGGCCCATGTTTTTGGGTTGTCAGCGGTGACGTATAACAAATATGACGAGTCCAGCGGTGATGCATAATAGATGCGACTAATACGGTGAAGCGACGTATTTATGTTTTTTTCCACTTTATTAGATATTTTTGAACTGATGCATCTTATATGGCGGAAAATACAGTATATAGAAATCGATCTTTGTTTACATTGGCTGCAAAACGCTCCATTGTTGAAAAATCCATTCTATATCTGATGAATTATGGAGACATAATTTACAGACATGCATATAAGGGTGTCCTTCGTAAGCTGGACACAGTTTATCACTCTGCTATTGTACAAATGCTCCTTACATCACTGTCACCTCTACTTTCCTGTTAAATGGCCTTCTCTACTTACTTGTCATGAAATTCATTGGTTTCCCATCATTTATAAGACATTGCTGGTTATTCACCTCCATATTTAACTAATCTACTGCAATTAGCACCAGTTTTGAAGTACAACACCCAATCCTCTCAGTATTTGTGGTTAATAACTGTAAAGACCGAGTCTCACTTTGGCTCTGCTGCTCCTTCTGGTTGGATTCTGCTTCAAAAACCTGTGGGTCTGACCTCACTTGTCTCTGTTTTTAGTTTTAAAAATCGTTGAAAAGCCATGTTTAAAGATAGTTGCAAATGTTTTCATGGTTAGCAATGTTGTTGTTTAACTTTGACAATGAACTGTTGATGTAATTTGTGATTTTCTTGTTTCTTGTTTGTCATTGACTATTATTTGGTCATTTTGTTTTGCCTAACTGTATGGTTTCCCTTCCCTTGACCTTACAAGTGTCTGTTGGTGCTGCCAGACCAGAACTGTACCGTTTTTGTTGGACTATAAGGCGCACCAGATTATAAGGTGAATTAAGTGAAACTAAAACATTTTGACAGATCTTTGAGCGCCGTGTATCACATGCAATCGTTTCGAGTTCAGTAAGCACAACCAGAATTAATACACAAGGGTCACTGTTGATTTTTGAGAAAATTAAAGGATTTTAAGTGCGCCTTATAGTCCGAAAAATACGGTAAATAAGAATTTGTTCTTAGTGTTTATGCCTGGATAAATACAGGTGAAATGAAAAAAAAATTAAAATTTGACTGCAGATCATGGCGTTTGTCGTCATCCATGGGGGACTCTTGTCTGACCTCGTCTGCTCCTGCGCGTCCCTAAAACTGCCCCGGGGGGGGGGGGGGGGGGGGGTCACTCTTGCTGTAGCAGCTCCTATTTTGTGGAACAAGGTGCCCCTCCATCTAAGAAAAGGCCTCTTCTTTGTCCGTTTTAACAACTTTTCTTACAACCCACCTGTTTGGCTTGTGACACTTTGATTTTAATTCATTTTATCTGATTTTTAATTTGATAGATTTTATGGTTTTACCAGATTTTACTGTTTGATCTGATTTTATGTATCACACAGTTTTTATTACTTGTGTTTTAATTGCATTTTGTTTTGTGTGAGCTGTTTTATTGTCGACTCTGTATAACACTTTGGTCCTCTGTGGCGTTTTAAAGTACTTAATAAATAAAGTTGGATTGGATCTGTCAACCTGTCCATCACCGCTGTGAACGATGTCCCTCCTGATGCCACCCTCCCAGTTTTTCCAAGGCTTGAGGCCAGCACAAGTAGCCCACTGGCTTGCGGCTCCCCCCTGCCTGTGGTGCGATGTTTTATTATCCAACTGTTACATAACAACGTAGCTTTAAATAGGGGGGAAGTCTAGACAAAATACAAGTACAAGGTGTTTCAGGCAGTTCAGGAACAGTTTTAGAGTTTGGATCTCTGCAAGATTTAACATACCAGAGAGAACAATGCCCCAAAAGCATTTAATGTCTGTTTAATTGCCCTTAACCACACATCTACTTCTCTCCTGTTAGTCTTATTTGTATTTTAGTTATTTGGTTATCCGTAGTGTTAAATCCTACTCCCTGTGCCTTTCAGTCATGCGTCACAACGGATGAATATCATCTGCTTCGTTCTGACCTTCTTCTTGACTAGTGACATGACGCCAATACGGGTGAGGACCAGCTGGCGACACAAGCCCTCCCTCGGGACGCCGTCAGCGAAGGTCTCAGCCCCGTCAGCGACCGGCTCGCAGAGGTGACGCATGAAGAGCGACACATAAGCTCTGGTGAAAGAGACAGAAACATGACAAATATTGGCTGAAGGTTGAAACACGGGTTCTGTCTGTGCCAATCTGGAGATTATTTTAAACAGTTTTTAAAAAAAATCCATCCACATTATTCTAACAAAAAGGCTGAAATTACCATTTTGTACCACTAGATGGCAACATCACCCACATTAAAGACGAACTTCAGCTAATACCTCACTGGGCTACGAAGGTCGGAGACTAGTTGGCAACTCAAAATTGCGAGAGAACAGGCAAATGCTGTTTCACTGACACGATAGTCTGCGCAACTAACTTTTCAAAATAACGGCTTGTTTTTGTGTACACTATTTGCTAACCTGCATAGGTAGGTGTGTAGGTCATGCACATTTTATTATGTTGTTGTTTATTTGTCATATGCAGGTTAGCAAAAGGCCAACAATGCAATGAAACGTTCAGGATGAGAAGTTGTTGCACACATCACACTAGGGGTTGAACGACTACATATTTTTAAAAGTCGACTTCGACATAATAAAAGTCTACGTCGACTAGTCGATGTGACGTCATAGGAAATCATGATGCTATTCACCAAAAGTAATTTATTACTTACAGAAAACAACAACAAAACATCAGGAGCGTATATTTATGCTCCTACCATTTATCATACTGCAAATAAGTCGCAGGAAAAACTAAACTATTATTAAGCTGCAAAAGTTAGTTTAATTTTATTTAATCCGCTAAATAAAATAAACCATTGAGGCGGTGGTGCGCCCCCTGTTTTTATTTTATTTAGTGGATTAAATAAAATAAAATTTAAAAACAGCGGGGCGGGCAGTGATGGAATCCACCACGGGTGACTGAACAGGAAGAGTCATCTTTAGTGAAATACTTCCACACTGTTGATGAATTTCAACATGTCTGCCCTGCTCCTCTCCTTCCATCTACTTGGAAGAATCCGTTTTGTAGCCAGCGGCCCGGTGTTGATCATGTGACACAATCACTGACTGCGACTAGTCAACATGAAATTTTAAAACTTGCGAGATGCCCTAGAACCGACTAGTCGACTACTCTGATCAACCTCTACATCACATTTATCTTGACAGCTGCCTCCATGCTTATTATTTAATCTACTGGTGTAGACCTTAGAAGTAAAAATAGATTGATTTTGATCATATTTTTTAACTACTTTAGATCATAGATGTGGATGGACCCGAACATTCAGGCTGTAGTCTCAGATGGTTTCTGTCAGTAGAGCTCTTGTACAGGTGCCAAAATACAAACTAGCCATCTAGTGTTCCAAAAACTAAATTTTAACGGGTTTGAGACACCTGTGACAACTGAAACTATTTTGAGAGAAAACGTTGTGCACAAATGTTGTGAAAATGTTCAAAAGTCAAGAAACAAAACTGCGAGTCAGGGACTCGTGCAAGGAGATTGCGAACGTTTCGAGACATTTTGGAAACTCCCTCATGAATGCCGTTCTTTAGGACTCTAACGCTCGCACCCCAGTGAGGTACTGGCTTCAGTGTGGCTAAAAATCCTCTCAAGTCTTATTTTTTCCCAATAATGTTCATTTTTCTCTAAGTTATTATTCGTCTCAGCACATATTCAAAGTTGAACAATGATAGCACTGGATAAAGAGAAACATGTAGGAAAAACTGGTAAAAACGGCTCCGTTGTTGTTGTGGTTTCTAAAGGCACTCTCTGAATCTGTTTGCATTAGGACAAGAGGTACAAAGGCAGCAGGAAATCATTTTTTTAATTATCTGAAGTTGCATGATTCAGGGCCTCAACACAAAGTTTTTCCATTTTTTTAAACTTACTTAAATTCCTTCTCAGATTTTCCCCTGAGGTCTCGAACGAGCCACTGAGCGGAGAAGGCATCCTGACACGGCATGCCCCAGCGCATCACTGCGTTCAGGAAAGCTTTGCGCTGCCGCGTGTTAAAGCCCAGAACCTGTCAAAAGGAAACCACAGCACGCTGTGAGGAGAACTCGCTACCTTAGAAAGATTAGCTAAAGTCGGTCCGGTTCCAAATGTGCACAGACCTCCAGGTTTCCTCCCACTCTGGCCAGGAGAGGAGGCAGAGGTTTATCCTTCTCGTTCCTCAGCTGACGGCGCGACTGTCTCCGACCTGTCAGCACAGGAGACATAACAATTCACAGAGGAAGATCTACTCAAACCAAAAGGGAGATCATTAAGATAATGTCACAGATTTCTTCTTAAATTTATAGCAAGTAGACCTCAGCTATGAAGAATAAAACGTTTGGATTTGCTTGAAGTCTTTTGTTGAAAATCTAGTTGGAGGTGGATGTGGATACATTGTTGGCAGTTTAACTGGTGTGATTCTGCCAGAAAACTCTGACAGCTCAATCACACTCTAATTCAACACAGACTTTAGAAGGTCTACTTGATTTGACTTTTTTTTTAAACTTCTCCTTACCTTCTGGCCTGTCGTCAAAGTCTTCATCCTCTTCCTCGGAGCCCACAGAGTACTCGGACTGGTTATCTGAAATGTCAGCATGCCACTCTGAAACAGCACACGGTGCGCCGTCAATAGGCCAGGCCCATTACTTCCACCGTGCAACTCACTTCAAACTAAACTACAAATGCGGTACTTTACAAGTTACTCCACGTTCGATGAAGTTAAGATGTCATGTGAAAAGTAAATAAAAACAAAACGCAATGATTTTCTAAATCTCATAAACCCACGTTTTATTCACAGTGGAACATAAACTAAGAAACAAACGAACGACTTAAGAAAATGGGATGAATAAAAAAGAGCTGGAGGAACATTTAGCAACAAATTAGGTTGACTTGCAACATAAGAGGACTGGGTTAAAAAAGAGTATTTAAAGGGGCTGGTTCTGTCGGAGGTAAAGATGGGCAGAGGTTCACCAGTCTGCAAAAACTGTCTAAAAACAGTGGAACAGTTTCAGGATAATGCTTCTCTGTGAATATCTCATCATCTGCAGCACACATGGGGAACATACGGCCAGAGGGCCAAAACCAGTCCTCCCTCCATCCATCACTTATCTTCTTTATTCAATTGGGGTCACTGGTGCCCATTTCTTACCCGAACACGGAGCCCGGCCCAACCCGGATTAGGGTCGGGCCATAATAATGTGCTTAATGTGTGCACTGGGTCGGGCTTTTGATTGCATCAGTTGACACGTGCGGCTGACGATCAAATTATATGGCAACATGGCTTGCCATACAATCACCTGCTGCATGCGGCCATTTGACCGCATGCTGACCGGCCTTGAAAGAGATTTTTTTTAAAGTTCAGATAAGCTTCAGATGATACTATACTGCCAGGCAGGGATCCATCACCCAAATGGACGTTCGTTCAGCCGCTGCACTCAGCGGATGAGCGCGGCCAACGACCCAAACAGGTGAGATCCTAAAATATCAGACATGTCAGAGCAGGGTCCGTTTCTGAATAATGCAAAATGCAGGCAGAAGCAGGGATTTAATGCATTTTGACGGCCATGAAAGGACAAACACCCCCTCAACATCGATCTTCTGCCCCCTTAGCTGCGCGTCAGCCAACCATTACTATACCATACCAATTTATTTATAGAACACTTAAAACAGCAACAAGGCCAAACAAAATGCTGTACAATAGAAACAAACAAGCAGAGCGGACAGGAAAACATAAAATAAAATTATAGATACAAAAAGCAGCAGATAATAACTAAGTGACCAACAGTATATTGGTGTATTTCAACGGGTCGTTAAACATCTACATTTACCTTCATTTGTAAACACTCCGCTTCTGTAAAGCATCCTACCCCCA